TTCTGGTAGTCTTAATATGCTCAGTTTGTGTTTTTCTTTTTTTTTCTGATGGCGACAGATAAAATGTTTGGCTTCCATCTCCCTCTAAATAGCTACAGGGTGGATATTCTGTAGATTACGGAAAATGTACAAATAAATTACAGGAAGATGCCATTTAAAAGCCACTTTGTAGATAGTGGTCAGTCGACACCATATCCCTGTGGAGATGTTCCTGATGACTCTGGCCCATAGATTGTCTTTAGAGCATCATAGAAGTTCTTTATATCATTCTTGTCTGCGTAAGACTGAATCTCATCTGTCTTGTTCAGCCATGAATTTTGCATCTCTCTGAGTTTGCGTTGGACAATCATTTTGATGTTGTTGAAAGCTGCCTAAAATGTTGATGTGCTGTCTCCTAAGTAGGCCTTATGGAGCCAATGTTTCTTATTCAGTAGTCTCCCTATGTCACTATCATTTTCATTGAACCAATCTTGATATTTATGTGGTGGGACCAAGGGTATTGGATGCAGCCGAGTACATGGACTCTGAAGGATGCCCAGTTTCCTTTATGTTATTGGAGTTTACATCAATTGTTACTAGTTGGCTGCACAGTTCTTCAACAAATGCCTGTTTCACATTCTTCTATTTCAATTTGGAGATATTGAACTTTTTGGGTGCTTTTTTTCCCTTGTGGACATCTACTAAGATGTATCTGGATATTCAGCTTGGAGACTGAGCCTGTGGTCAGTACAGCATTCTGCACTTCTCATGGCCTTTGTCACTATGACATCCTGTCTGTCTCTTCTGACAATGATGTAATCAGTGAGATGCCAATGCTTGGAACACGGGTGCATCCAAGACGTCTTGTTGTGGTTTGGGGCAGGCAGAAGAATGTATTGGTGATGATATCAAGTTCAACACAGTTTCTCAGCAAGAGGAGCCCGCTGCTGTTGCATTTCCCAAGACCATTTTTCTGATGATGCCTGGCCATGCCTGGTGATCTGTGCCAGCTCTGGCATTAAAGTCACCAAAGATGATGAGCTTGTCTGCCTTTGGCACTTCTACAATTTAAGGACTCCATGTCTTCATAAAATTTGTCATTAATCACATCTTGGTTATTCATGGTAGGAACATAGGCACTGTACATAGTTGTACATCTTTGCCCAGACAGTGGGGAATCTCATTAGCATAAGTCTGTAATCCACTCCCTTTGGGTGATTTGTAGGCTTGCTGATTAGCTGTTTTGATGGCAAACCCAACACCAGCTTCACAGTGCTCTTTACTAAGGTGTCAAGGTGTAGCCAGCTTCTTTTTTAATGAGTTGTCTTTCTTCAGCTAGGTTAGTTTCACTTGGGGCCGCTATCTGAATGTTGAATCTGGCCAGTTCTCTACCAACTAGAGCTATTCTTCTCTCTGGCCTATCTGCTGTTCGTACAGTCCATTAGTCTGTTCACATTCCAAGCACCAATGGTGAGTGGTGTCAGCTTTGTCTTTTTTGTCTTGGTGTGATATTTCCCCCCCCCAAAATGCTATAGTGGGATCCCCATCAGCCGTGCTATGCCGACCAGGGTTAAGGTGAAGCAAACAATGTTTAGGGAACCTTTTCTAGCCCCTTCCTTATGCTACAGAGGTGAACGGTGTGATCCTAAATAGGGCTACTCAGTCACCCAGGGGACTGCTGAATACCACTGCTGCTTCAGTCCAGTGAAAAGCAACCCCCTGCCCGAGCTGCCTGTGTAGAAGGTTGCAGCTATAGCTTTCATTGTATCCACATTGCTACAGAACTTGAGTGAATCTATGGGGGGTATAGATGATATTGTGACATGCATGTGAGTTTGATTTGAAGACTCTGAAAGATCGCAATTCCATTTTTTCCTTTAGTGGTTTATTTCATAGGTTAACTACAGGCATTCCGCAACTTGCAACGTTTTATACTTACAATGTTTATGACGTCAGTTTCAATTTTAAAATGCTTGATGCCATGCCAGCAAACAAGTTGGCTGAGTCTCCCATCTCTCTGGAGAACATCTGACCAAACTTCCTTGGACTTTTTCTTTAAGAAAGCAGGCCAGACTCCTGAGAAGACTTCAGCCAAGAACCCTTCAAAAAGTCCAGCAAAGTCACCTCAAAGAAGTCCTTCCAAATCAATATGATTGCTACTTACAATATAAGTACATTAATGTAGCTATATTACTCATCTATAATTATTCGACTACAAAATTCTGGGGTATTTTTGGTGAAAATAGGGTATTGGGCCTTGGTTCAGGAACCAATCCCAGATTTATAACATTGTTCCATAGGAACAATTCGGTTCCACGTTACGACGTTTCAACTCAAGACATGGTTTTCAGGAACCAATTGTCGTAAGTCTGAGGACTGCCTGTACGATGTTAACATTTTGTGCCTTGTCTGACTTTAGGTTTCAGCTGCTGGGTGTTTTGCTTTCCTTTTCTTTGCTAGATTAGAGTATCTAGCATCAGGTGTGTTTTTCCTATCAAGTCATTTAAGCTGTGGACTAGCCTAACTTTCAAGTACTCTGAAAGGAGAGGTGGAGTTCCTGCTTAGGAGTGTACCTAAGCAATTCTGTGAGAACTATTCTGTCTACCTGTTCCTATGGAGAGGGATGCAGGGAATGAGCTAAGTTGCTCTACTTTAACTGTAAGCAGGTTGGGCAACCTTAGCTTCATCTCTCCTCTACTCGCCTGCCACAACTTGGATTAGAAAGAAAAGGAAAGGGATCTGATCTTTTGATGTTCGGGATCAATAAATGCCACCCAGGTGTTATGTGCTTATGGTGTTAGTTTATTTTCCAAAATAAAAAGGTACAGTAACAGTAGTCTCGCCAATTACTTAATTGGCGAGGGAAGCCCGAGCTGCAGATGAGGAAACTCTGCGCTGGATACCTTAAAAATACTTCCTAATTAGTAGTTTCTGCCACCAATTGCCTCATTAGCGGGGCGCGTTCTCTGCATCTCTCTTCGTGTGTGCCATGTGCCGGGAGTGACCCCCTGCTGCTCCCTCACTGTCTGTCTTGTTGTTTTTGGCGTTGTCATTGTCCTGATGGGATCAGGAGCTTGGATTAGCTCCTATCACCTGCGTATTGTCTGAGAGACACCATCTATTTCCCATGGCTCCTGACAGAGCTGCCTCCCGATGCCTCAGTACTTCCCCGCACTCACCAGTGCAACTGCTATTCTTGGAGAAGTAATCTGCCTTGTGTCTGACCTGTCATATCTTCTGAAGTCCCGTGCTCACCATGTCCTTCTAGATTGCAGGTCATATTCCTCATTTTCTCTCTCTCCGGCGTCTCAGTAACCCCTTTGTCCATCCTCTTGTGCCCGAAGGCAACAAGTAAATGTCCCGCTGCCGGCTTTATGCAGGTTTTGGTGGGCTAATCGTGTCTTGGGTGATCTTGTCTTGGATGTGTAATGCACCCTGCCAGGTGGAGGAAATTGTCAGGTCAATCCTGCCTGACTTTGCCTTAGTAACAGGGCTCCTGCCTGCATCCCTGTTACATTAACCCTTAACAAAACAGGGCAAAAGTTAATGTGGCTTTGTTTCATTTGCATTGTTAAAGAAGCATGCAAACTTATACAGGCAGTTCTCGACTTATGACTGTTCAGGTTATGACAAATGGCACTTATGACCTTTGTAAATTATGACACTGTTTTGGGTATCTGACGGGGTTTTGACTTTACAACACTGGACACAGCTGCCTCCAGCTGGTAGGTCTGTTGTGGAGGGGCAGATCAACACCTCTGCAGTGAGGGAGGTATTGGGGCTGGGGCTGGGACAGCGACTGCCCACTGGGCGGAGGGGGTCTCGCCACTGTGCACCGCCGGTCCAGGAGGGCATGGGGCCAGAGCTGCACTGGGCTCCAATCTGGGCCAGCGGCAGATGGAGCTGGGAGTGGAGGCTATGCCAATCCCCCGCTTATAACGTTGTAACTTGGAACTGGTTTTCCCATAGGAACAATGTTTTGACTTAAGACACAGGAACCGACTGGATTGCAAGTCTGAGGACTACCTGTATGCTGCTTTTTAAGTGATACTGTTATTGGTTCTATTGATAGTAGAATAGTCGCAATGAAAGCTAGTTTCTTAGTCAATGGTATGACCTATTGAGATACAGAAAAAAAAAATCTTTAGTGTTTAGCCCTCAAGGTTGTAGCTCTTGTATGTGCCTCAGTTTTTTGTTTTGCTTTGTTTTTCCAAACATCCTTTTTATAAGAGGGATACAGCTGTTGTTTTACTTCTGTCTGTGGCATTAGAACAGTAAAATAACTTCCCTCCTTCTCTTAGCCACAGTGTTCCTTGTTCTTAAAGTACGTTTAGTTGCTTGTACAATATGACCATTAAAGCCTTTTCAGGGTGACTGCTTCCCAGATTCAGTCCCTTTTTCTGACTGCTTTGTCCTCACCATTGCTACTTTATTTGTCATTAACAGTGATCTTATGTTTGTTTCTAGAAAACTGAAAAATATTAAATCAGGCCTAAATTTAATCCCTGTAGAACTACACCCTTTAATAATGATTTGACATTGTCAAATGATCCTTTTTAGGTAGGGCATTGAGTTCTTAATCGATTTACTGTATGCTGTCCTGGTTCTCCATAGTGCTAATTTCTTGAGGCAAATTCATGCAATATGTTGGAGCCATGCAATTACTTTTATGAAAGTCTTATTTTGTCAAAATGCTGACTGGTATTTTTATATTTCCGCTGTTTGACTGGACTACTTTGTAAGCTTTTTCTATTTTTTCCTGTGATTTGACATTGGACTAAGCAGTCTGGTTATTTGGGGTAGTGGATAGTAATCTCACTGTGGATACTACACTCAGCCAGGGACAGAGAGAAGACTGCTTATATTCAGTAATAAGGAGGAGAGGGAATTTTTATGGAGGGTATTTTTTTGGCAATGGGTGGGTCTCCAGAGCTCTACCTTTTTTAATTTTGTTCTCCTTTTACCCTCTCACTTTAAATTTTGCTGTTTTTAATCTCCTCAATTATCTAATTATTTTACAGTCTCCAAGACCCAGATGAGGCACGGGACCAGTTTCATCTTGCCAGATTGAACTGCAAGAAATTTGCTTTTGTCCATGTGGCTTTTGCACAGTTTGAACTGTCACAGGGTATGTCAAAGTTGTGTCCGTCCCTTCCCCCCCCCCAAATTACTATTTTCTGTTCAAGTAAAGGGGTAGTTAAGGTAGTAACAGCTAAGGACGCTGGAATTTGTGCCAGAAGTGTGCTGTGTGGTGGCTCCTTTATTAAATATGCTGTGGTTTTGTCTCCTGCTGCTGATTTTGGCGGAAGCCTCAGTGGCTCCACTGCTTGCTGCTGGCTGAGCAGAAGACAAAAACTGCAGTGCGTTTTAAAACAGTGGTTTTCATCTCCCTGCTGACCATGGGTGAGCAGCAAGTGGCGGGGTCCATGGGGCCTGTCTACCAATCGGCCGCAGGGCGGGGCGGGGGAGGCGCGTAGGGGAAACTGCAAGATAAAAGGAGCCACGCAGCCCACTTCCAGTGCGAATTCCAGTGGTCCCTAGTAATGGCTAATGATTTAGAAAATAGTTAAAAATTTATTCTTCTTTATTTATTGATCTAAAAGGAAGTGGGTAATGCTGTCTACCTACTACAAAACAAATGTGTATATATAATCTTGAATGTTTTCTATTGAATACAGTACAGTTAAGAACTATTACTAAAGCTTTTTTTCTTCAAGATGCTAGGAAGGCAGATCTAGCAACATTCTTTAGAGCAGCTTCCTACATGAGATGAGGTGGTAGAATACTGCTTTGCCATCTAGAAGTCTGAGAACTTCCCATCTCAAGTTCTGGGTTTTTTTGTTTTTCTGGGTTTTTTTAATGCAGAAACTGATTACTGTATTTTAAATGATTGTGGGGGGGGGGGGGTTGTATGTAGTTTTTCCATCAGTATAGAGAAGTAGCTTCATCTTTAGATGAAGCAACCTGCAAACCCCTACTTTCTAGGGCAGTGATTCTCAGCCAGGTACTCTGGGGTTCCTTGAGATCCTTTCAAGGGTGCCATGCAACGTTAGTACTGTGCAAACATTATTCACAAGTTCAACCAGAGATTTCAAATAAAAATCCTTAGTGTCAAACTTTCTGACCTGTTGTAGTCTTGCTGAGTTCTCTACAACAGAAGACTTGCTCTGTTTTTCTGTAGGGGAAAAAACATGCTTGTAAACTAGGCTAGCATTTTTTTCAAGGGATGCCTCAAGTCTAATGAGGTTGAGAACCGCTGGTCTAGGCCATCACAACCTACCTTCTCTTCCCCCCCCCCCCCCCCCCCCCCCCTCGACA